TTATATATATATATATATATATATATATATATAACATATAAATGAGAATAATGGATTCTCCATACTCTGTATTTCTTTATCTTCAAAAAAAGATAATTATAAACTGAAAACATGTGGTACTTTCATGGAAGATCACTAAATTACAAAGTTCCATTATTTCTTTGTCAGATATGTTGCTTTTTAAGTCTACGATTTTAATTCCAAACATTCAATGGCACATTACTAAGTATCAATTTGACATCAAAAAAGACAATTATTAAATATTTTTAGGTGTACTCTAGTTTGGAAAACAAATTGAATTAAATATTTACAGGTAAATTTATTATGCTTGATTAGAAAAATTCTAACCTAATTGCCACATATTTAATTGAAGTATAAGAAAAACTTTAGTATTAGATAAAATTTGGGGAAAATGGATAATCTCTTTAGTAATTATTTTGTACAGCATAATATTTTGGTGCATTTACATTAAAAGCCAGGCTCTCCTCTTTAGGTAGATTTTTCTGTGAAGTTGCTTATTCCATGTTTTAAGATTTTTGACTCAACTTTTCATGACAGCTGTTTATAAGATTCAACATTATTTAGTTGAGCTAAGGTTTTAGCATTTCCTGTTTTTAAATGTAATTTCAACTTTGGGCTTTATGTCATTTTTTAATTTCACTTAGTTTTAGTTTACTTGCAAACACTAGACTGGTAACAGAGAGCTAGCTAGCTGTGTTTGTTAATTAATCTAGTTCGTAGCAGGGTAGATAGCATGTTACATCCTGGAATAGAAAGCTGTATAATGGGCTTCACTGATTATATGATTGAACATGAGTAAGTGAAGATCACATCCAGAAGTGGTTTTGTGTCAAACATGGCTTAACTTGTTTGTGTATTTTCTGGTATTAAAAGCCAGGTTCTTCTACTCATAGGCAGATTTTGTTGGGATTTTTTTTATTCAGATTTTTATTAGTCTTGAGATATTTTGGTAAGATATTTGACTTAACTTTTCATAAGAGATGTATGCAATATTTAAAGTATTTTTAATTATATTGAAAAATTAACTCAAAATAGATATATTTTTAGGAAAGAAGCTGATCCTTGAATGTAGGCTTAGCACTTTGAACTGAAAGAGTTTGTGATTTTTTATATTCTTTTGCATTTAAATTAGTAGTTTTAAGTTCAATAATTTAGCATAATTTTGTATTTAGTTCGTAATAAAAATATGGTTCAGTATTTAGAGTGATAACCTTGTGTGATTTGTACGTACTAACCACGTAAGAATTTTATAACTTTCCTTCTTACTATCTTTACTTTGTAGTAAGAGCCACACTTCTGTTGTTGTTGCTTTATAATTAAAACAGTCTAACTGATATATACACCTGGAAAAAAGTTAAGCACCCCCGTGTTTTTTTCAAGTGATTCAGATTCGA